ATTAGGTGATATATTTATTATATAGTGGAGCATGGTGATAATATTATTGTATGATGTGGAGGTAGTAAGTGTGGATCATCATGTATCGAGGGTAGTTGATTATATGTGTGGGGATAGGGTCATTTTATATATAATTATATATATTAAGGTAGTATATATATATATATTAGGTTATTATATAGTAGTATATGATGATAGTAGGCGGTGTGATTGGTGCGTGTGTGTGGTGTGTTGTGTTGTGTGTGTGTGTGGTGGGTGATGGTGTTGTAGTGTGTGGTTAGGGAGTGGTGTGTGGTGTGTTGAGTGTGGTGTGGTGGTGAATAGTGTGGTTGTGTGGTTGTTGGTGTGGTGTGTGTGGTGTGTGGTGTGTGTGTGGTTGTGTTGTATGGTTGTGTGTGTTGTGATGTGTGTTGGTAGTTACCGATATAGATAGTATATGTAGTGTAGCTGCGGTGGGACGAAGTAGGTATGGATTGCAGGCGAGGCTAGATATGATTGGGAGTGCGGGATTAAGCGATGGAGAGAGTAAGTATATAATATATATGAGTAGTGTGTACTGATGTAGTGGAGTATGATATAGTGTATTTTGAAGTTAGTGGCTGTTTAGTGGTGTATGAAGGGGTATATTTTATATTAGGCGAAGGAGAGGTTGGCAGTGGAGGGGGGGTAGATGAGGAGAGAGGGCGATGAGAGGAGTAGGAGAGAGAAGGATGAGGAAGGGGCTAGAGATGGCGAGTTGGGAGGGAGATGGGAGGAGCGAGAGGAGAGAGGGACGAGGAGAGGATGGAGGTGAGGAGATGAGTGAGTAGTGGGGAGAGGTTGAGAGGAGTAGATATTTCAGATATATATCATATTACTGGGTTTAATCTTGTAAGTGGTATGAAGTCTAGATGATTGATCTACATATCACCTGGAGTTGTCGCTAATATTGATTCGGATTGTGTGATAGAGTGATGTAGTGTATGTAGGTTATTAAGACTGGTGAAGGGATTGGAGGGCTATACTGAGTATGTTGATATTGAATATGGATTGTAGATTAAGTATGGGGGTATGAGGTAGTTTGGGTGGCTGGTTGTTGAATATTTCGTGTAGGAAGATTGAGTGAGAGGATATTGTAGTGGTGATGTTTATTATAATATTATAGTATATATGGTGTGCGTGATTCGTATGGTATGTATGGATGGAATTTATAGTAAGTAATATAAATATAGTAAGTATTGAGTATGTATAGCTTTTTTATTTATATATAGTGTCGTAATATATATTATATTATACTTATGATTAGTGAGGTATAGTGAGGTAGTGTAATATATAGTAGTATGTGTATATAATAATATAGTTTTTTTTATATAGTATATTGATATATTACGGCTGAAATTTATAGTTTATATGATATAAGTATTAGTATGATATGAGTAGTTGTATTACAGTATTAATCATATATTCAATTATATATTAATTATTATTTTATATTATAATAGTCAGTAGTATGATTATATTTTATATACATATAATAATTAAATATTATATAGTTAAGCGTCTGTAACTGATATATATAATATATACATATACAATATATAGTAGTTCTTATATATACTAACGTATAGTATGATATAATAGTATAGAGGTTAATATATACTATATGTTTATTATTATAAAGTCATATAGGGTTATATTTATAATTATATATATTAAGGACTATATATATAGTATATTAGTATTATCTAATATGATATAATATTGAATTATTTATATAAATAGTTATATATATAATATATATTAGGGAGATATATGTTACTACTTAGTATATAATATGGTGTAACGATTATATATTATTATATATTGTTATTATTATTAGCATAATATAATATATAATATATGTATATATGTATAATAAATTTTAGTATTATAAATATTTTATATATTGTATAGTAGATATAATATATATATAATAATTATTTAATACGTACTATTATATAAGTAATATATATAATAGTATAGTATGTTATTATATAAATATTATTATAGTATATAGTAAGTATAGTAGTTATATATTCATATATTGTGTGTGTGTGTGTGTGTGTGTGTGTGTGTGTGTGTGTGTGTGTGTGTGTGTGTGTGTGTGTGTATATATATATTATTATATTATAATTTTAGCATATATATGTATATATAATTTATATTTATATATTTATCTATATCTATTAATATTATCATCTGATCTTCTTAATATGTTTATAGTTATTTAGACACACAACACACCACACAGAGACACACACACCACACACACGACAACACACACACACACAGACACGACCAACACACACAACAGACGACAAACCACACCATTAGTGTGTGTGTGTAATAATATATATAGATATATAGGTTATATTTATAGTATAGTATATATAATATATATACATATAGCAGATATAACAGTGATATAGTAGTACTAATAGTAACATAATATAGTAAAGAGAATGTTTATACTTTAGTATTA